ATAGCAATTTATTTCCCTCTCATTCTCTTTAATCAGCTCTTTTTTCAGCCATTATCCGTAAGAGAACCGTTTGGGATCTATATGGTAATATGTATTTTAATTATTTCTGTTTTATTATTTACATTTTGGTAATTTTCTAAGTTTTAAGCCTATTTCTACTGTATGCCGTTTAGAATATCCTTTGTTTACATTATGACGTTTGCTACACGTCATTTCGATTGAACCGGAAGTGACGCGATAACGTGATGACGCAGGGCACGTTTTTACGTCTCACCCTGAAGTACAATGCCGCGAACGCGGCGAAAATCGGCGCCAAAACAGGCAGAAAAGGAGCTTCACACCTGGACAAACTACAGCACCTCTGACGAAGGCTCTCATGCCGAAACGCGTTAGGTGAACTCCAAGGACATTTTGGGACTTTTTATTCATATTGTTTTATGGGACTTTCCTTGTTTATTTTATTTATTCATTTTTTAATAATTATTAAAGTAAAGCTTGAACTTGAACCTGCGTTCCTGATTCTTTGGGAAGAGCCCAGTGGAAGTCTGTCCCAGTCCTGAGGACTATTTTATTTCCAGGCGTGCAGTGTGAGCCAGCTTGTAATTGGCTCTTCGTATGTGAGTGTATTTTATCCATACGTTATTTGATTGTATATTACGGTATTACCCTATGTTATTTTTCTGTGTTTTTTCCAGAGAGTAATTCTACTGTGGGTAATATAATTGTGTTCTGTGTGCTCTCACCATATTGTATTTATTTTTCACCACTTCAAATATGCTCAACTGACCAAATATGTCCATACCCTGCCACAGGCACCAGTGCTCAATAGAGATCGAACCACATTTGAACAACTATGCCAACACCCAGACCCAATCCCGCACGGAATCTCCCTATTATATTCCACACTTCAAACAGAGACCCCCACAGAAAAACCCCTATTCATGGGAAAATGGGAGACGGCCCTAGACAGATCATTCACAGATGCGGAATGGGATTCCATCTGCTACTTCACACACCACTGCAGAACCCAAGAGACGGCCTATAAACTATTGACACATTGGTATAAAACGCCACACCTAATGCACAAAATCGACACAGATCACACAGAGATGTGCTGGAGATGTGAGAGAGAGGTGGGCACCACACTACACATTTGGTGGGAATGTGACATGACCAAACCCTACTGGACAAGGATACATGAGATACTAGAGAAGTTCTCTGACGCGCCCTGTTGATTTTAGCCAATCCAATGTTTTCCATATGGTGATGATGATGTCACAAAGGGGGCAGAGTCAGCGGCGGCAGGGTTGCGGGAGGCTGGAAATAAGGTGAGATTTAAACTTTTATAATGGGGCTGAGGGGGGGCAAGCCACCTATATGGTGAGTTTAGCACTACAGGGTCAGGAATACATGTTTGTGTTCCTGACCCTATAGTGATCCTTTAAGGATCACGCACTTTGTTGTGTCAGTCACATCATTCATTATGTTCCTCTGACTTCACCCATAGTGTGGCATAAGGTTTGAAAACATGATCTGCTCTTTAAATAAAGAGTATATCATGTAATATACATTCTTATTGTCAGAAGAATCTTTGTTTATTTTTAATGTGTATATTTATATCACCAGAAGCTTTTCTGTTCCTCTGGAAAAAAAAAATGTGCAATATGATATCATGAGTGAAAAAAATACTTGTATAAGAAAACTCAAGATATAAAAAAAGACACCAGTAAAAGTAATTATTTTAAATGAAGAGTGACATATTTGTGTCCAACATATGGAGTTTCACGATATTATGAAATTGGTTTCTTCAATTCATAAAAATCCAATAAAAAGTACATTTTAGCTTTCACTCACTTTTAAAATACAGCAATAAAATTATCTCTGCTTGCAATACCTGTTACTTAGCTCAACAAGAATTTTTACTCCTCCACCATAAAGTTATGTCACAGCTGTCTGTAAGATACTCTAGGCTGAATATTCATTTAGACTGCAAATCTTCCCATCATAATATTAAATTCTCCTTCATGACTCCCGGACAAGTTATTCATTTGATAAACAGAACCACCTGGCTACAAGGAATTTCCTGCTACAATTCTGCCTTAATTTCCTCCAACAGTAAAAACCTAATACTTGCAAAGGTGAAGGAAAACAGCAGTTAATCACACAGATCACCACTGCTGCCACCATTACATTGATAGTGCATTTAAAATTAAATTTTAATTCCCACCTGATGGTTCACTATGAATTATTTTTATTTGAAACATGCATATACCATTGTCCTTCACATAATTTGTAATAGTTCTATTATGTAACACTGTTCTGATCCTGACATTTGCACAAATATCACTAATTTGTATATTATTAAACAAATAAAACACACAATGTATCTATGAATTAGATAATATCTCTATATAAATTGTATCCTAAAGGAAGAAATAATTTAAACACGTATTTTAATCTGCTCTGTGTAATCCTATGTAAATACATATGAGATTATGAGATTATTTATAATTTGCGCTAAAGCACAGCTGCTACACCCAAACGCTGTATTATGTTTACAAGGAAAGAGAGGAACTTAACACGTATAGCTTGGAGGAAAAACAAGATGGGGATATGATAGAAACATTTAAATACATAAAGGGAATCAACACACAGTAAAAAGGGAGACTATATTTAAAAGAAGAAAAACTACCACAACAAGAGGACATAGTTTTAAATTAGAGGGGCAAAGGTTTAAAAATAATACCAGGAAGTATTACTTTACAGAGAGGGTAGTGGATGCATGGAATAGCCTTCCAGCTGATGCGCTGGAGGTTAACACAGTAAAGGAGTTTAATGCCCTGAGAAGATAGCGCAGCTAAACGGACAAGGGCACATGTATGAGTGTGGGAATAGATGCTTGTGATTGGCTGTATGTGTATATGGGAGTGGTGTAGGGATCATCTTACCTCAGTGCCTCTTGGGAGACGGGCCAACTTAATCTGATTCTGTGGCTCCTGTTTGTCCTGACCCATTGATTTTACCTGCTTGAGGGATGGATGAGGATTTAATCCTGCTGTCCTCAGAACTGAAGCTGCAGCAGGCTCCTCTGGTTTGGCCACTGGTGTGGGTCCCACATGGGCTGATGCCCCCGCCCGCCTGCTCCCTGGATCTGGATTCAGCACCTATGGCACAGTATGGGAGACTGAGCCCGGACCCTAGGTGCTGCCAGGCCCGCGTGTCTGCCCCTTATGACACGCAGCCTGCTCCCTCTGGAGTTTACCACACACCGGCTACGGACAGAAGAATGCCTGCACTGCCCGGACAGCCTGGGGCATCGGGGGGGGCCTTACCAGGTGCTTGGTGGTCGGTGGTCAGGGTTTTTTTTTGTATCTAAAAAGGATGGTGAGTTGCGCCCATGTATCGATTACAGGTCATTGAAAAAAATCAGCATTAAGAACGCCTACCCCATTCCTCTTATTGCTGAATTATTTGACAGACTCCAGGGTGATAAAGTGTTTACTTAGCTTGACCTTAGAAGCGCTTGCAATTTAGTGAGAATCAAGGAAAACCTTGAGTGGAAGACTGCATTTAATACCAGAAGTGGACACTATGAATATCTAGTGATGCAATTCGGGTTGTGCAACGCTCCAGCGGTTTTCCAAGATTTCATTAACGATGTACTCAGGGATTACATTTACTCGTTTGTCTTGGTCTATCTGGATGATATCCTTATTTATTCTCCTGACCTCCAGACTCACTGCGATCACGTTAAACAAGTTCTGCAAACCTTGTTAAAAAAAAACAACCTTATTGTAAATTGGAAAAATGTATCTCTGACCAGTCTGAAGTACAGTTTTTGGGATATAATATTTCTGCCTTGGGGTTTCAGATGGATCCTAAAAAACTAGAGTCTCTAATACAGTGTGGCCTTTACCCACTGGGTTGAAAGCCATTCAAAGGGTCATTGGTTTCTCCAATTATTACAGAAGATTTATAAAGGGATTTTCTTCAGTAATAGCCCCCATCACCAATGTGACACGCAAGGGGGCTAGTAGTACGATATGGTCTAAGGAAACTATTGAAGCTTTTGAAACTCCGCCGACATATTGATACATCCTGACACCAGTATCATCAACTGGAGGTTGATGCTTCAGAGACAGGGGTAGGGGCAGTTCTCTCCCAGAGGGAGAGCCAGAAAACTCTGTTATATCCTTGTGGTTACTATTCTAGAAAGTTGTCTCCTGCTGAGCGCAATTGGCAATAGAGAATTGTTGGCCATTATTCTAGCTCTCAAGGAGTGGCGACATCTTTTAGAGGGTTCCTGGCTTACATAGGAGATGCCAAGCAATCATCTTCTAGACAAGCTAGGTGGTCTCTATTTCTTTCTCACTTTAATTTTCTTATCACTTTTAGACCTGGTTCTAAAAATGTCAAGGCCGACGGAATGTATCTTTGCGTCCACTGTCCTTTCATTGTCTTCTCCACTGCTTGGCTCCATCATGGAGGCTCAGTCTCAGGCGCCCTGTGGTAAACCTCAGGACAAACTGTTCGTTCCATTGGGGGAAAGGGTTAATATCATGAAGGTGTTTCACGACAATGTGTCTGCTGGTCACCCAGGTATTAATAAATCCACTGGTTTGGTTTGCACCTGAAATTAGGTGCAATGGGAGTCAGGAGTCAGTTCACTTGAAAAGGCTTTTATATATCCTGATAGTTCAGGAAAAACACAGCACTTGCATATATGGGGTGTATGGCTTTAAATCTGCTAAAGGCAGAGTCAAACTTACTACACACCAAAATAATCTACTTTTAGCTCAAAGATGGAAACTGTAAAGGGGATATAGGAGAACAGTATGAGGAACTGTTTCCTATTTGTGATAAAAAATTGTCACAGTTATATATGGTGTATATATCTTTAAATCTGTAACTAATAGAGTGAGGCAAAGTGTATGCCAAATATCATACTTTATGACAGAAAATAAATAAAAAATAAAAATAAAAACTTCATGTAATAGATATACAGTTATGTGACTGTATTCTGTAAATAACCGTATCACTTAAAATATGGTTGATACAGTGATACGGTTATTTACAGAATACAGTCACATAACTGTATATCTATTACATGAAGTTTTTATTTTTTATTTATTTTCTGTCATAAAGTATGATATTTGGCATACACTTTGCCTCACTCTATTAGTACTGTTCTCCTATATCCCCTTTACAGTTTCCATCTTTGAGCTCAAAGTCCCTAGCATTTTGCTCCTGTGTTCCTTGGAGCTTTTCGTGTCCTTCGTAGGCTAAATCCTGTTGCGTACTCTCTGGCCATTCCTCCCTCCTTGAAAATTCCTAATACCTTTCATGTGTCCTTACTCAAAACTCTTTGCAATAAATATACTGTCTCAAGTGTCCCTCCTCCTCTCTTAGTTGTTTCTGGACAGGAAGAGTATGAGGTCTCCTCCATAATGGATTCCAGGTTTTCTCGGGGCACTTTACAGTACTTGGTGGATTGGAAAGGTTATGGACCAGCCGATCATTCTTGGGCATCTGATATACATGCTGGCTGCAAGATTCGCTATTTTCATGCCAAGTTTCCTCTCAAGCCGGTCCTGTCTTCAGCTGGAGGGTAATGTCACATATTCATCCGCATATAAAAATTTAATTAATGGCATTTACTGTTCTGACAGGAAAAGTTGTGCCGAGCCACATTACTTTCCTGACAGGAAAAGTTTTGCCGAGCAGCAATCAATCCACAGGAGGGTTTTTGCTGAGCAGCAATAATGCAAATGGGAACCTGGTAACTGCCTTTGTCAAAGGCCAGTTACAACCAATTAGATCCACAGGCGGGGTATTTGGGCCCAGTTCTCCTCTTGCTCAGTGCCCTGTCGTGGTTTCCCTTGTGGTTATTGATTCTGGTTATTCTGGTATTTTGACTTTGGCATTGATCTTGACATCCCTGTCTTCTGGCATCCCTGACCCCTGGCTTTTCCTTATCGTTGTGTCTCTTTCTGTTTCCCTTGACCTCGGCTATTCCTGACTATTCTTTGGTACGTTAGTCCGGTCATTCTAAGGTCCGGTATACGTTACCTATCAGTCCTCTGTGTTACACAATTCTATCTGCTGGATCATACTGTAATCCTGACAGGGGGTTCACATCGGGTCTTCTGGGTTTTCAGGGAAATAGGGGGCGCAAGCGTGCAGGGAGTCCCCATTAGGTAGTCTGCTTTGACGGTTTGGTCTGCTGGGCAGCGGCCTCAAGTGGTGAGGACTGCGCAAGGGGTCATGCCTAGTGTCGCTAGTGTTTCTTTGGTGGCTTTGGGTGCTACCGCTACGGTTGCTGTAGGCGCAATATTAGGCGCTGTTGTGGTTCCTGCAATGACGTGCGACTATCTGGGCATTTTCGAAATACGGGGCTCCGCTTAAATGTGCTGGGACTGGGATGCTGTTTTTTTTTCACCTGTCGCCGGAAATTATAAAAAAAAAAAAAAAAAATGGGAAGGAAGAATTGGTTGAGATTGTCTCTCCCCTGCCAATGGAAGAGGCTCCTCCACTGGGGGAGAAGGATGGTAAGGCGTCAGAGACGGAGAAAGAACAATCCATTACTGGAGGGTTCCCATGACTTTCAGTTATTGGATTTGCGCATTTTAATCTGGCTAGTGTCATTGGGGAAGAGGCGCCTCAAAAGTGCTCCGCATTATTCTGCTACTATTTGGAATGCTGGTCATACCTGTGGTGGAGGTGTGATGAGCAATTTCGTCAACGTCTGGCGGTGCGTCCCTCAATTTTCTGGTACCAGATGGACATGTCACCTGGCTCCCCATTATGACCCGTGCCGCAGCAGGGTGGTTTCTCGCCCTTTCTTGGGGAGGCTGATGGGGCGGATCATCCGTCTCCCCAGCAGCTCGGCAGAGGTCAGGCTGTTGTTGCACATTTTATGACAATCATTGTACACCGAATGCTCCGCCTGCGGGGGTGCTCATCCCATCTCCCGGTGTTTCCAACGTGCACAAGCTAGTGAGACAGGGGATCTGGGTACTACGGGCAACGATGTCAGTTGTCGTAAGCTCAATGTGCCCGTGGCTCACCAATGACTTCTAGGATCCGTTGAGCAACCATCGTCCTGTTGGAAGGCGGTGGGCATGGGTTTTGGATTCCTTTCTCTTCCGCCCTTCCCTTTCGTTGCTGGTTCAGAACCTTTAGTCAGTCAGGGTCTTTCCCACATGTGGTTGACAACGCTTGTCAGGGAGGCGTCTCTGGGTTGCAAGGCCGGTACCTTTATCGACCCCCCTTTACTGGACTGGCTGGTCTCCCCCTTGGGCAGGGTGCCCAAGGAGGAGCAAGGGAAATACTGTTTGATTCTTCATTTGTCAGGCATTTGTGGGGTTTTTAGGTGCATGATGGCATCTCTTCAGAACTTTAGGGCATCGAGATTGATTCTGTGGCGGGTTTAGGCCGCTTGCCTCAGATCCGGTTCACGGCTTACGGCGGGATGTGGCTGGCCCTAGGGCTTCATAAGATCCGACTGCATGACGTCCGGTGTCACTGGACCCCGGGGCTTTGTTTGGGTGACTCGGGCTCTGCGGGATGATCTGGCGGTCTGGGGCACCGTCCAGGCCGCGTATGATGGCAGGTCCTACTGGCAGGCGCCTGAGGCCTCTAAATCGGTCCTACACCTCTTCCCGAGTTGTGGCTTGGTTGGGTTTGGGGTGATTCTGTTTCCTAGATGGTGTGCTGCCTGTTGGCCAGACGGTTGGCATGTCTCTGGCCTCACAAGGAATGGGCATCCGGGGATCTCTTCCCCATGCTAGTGGCATTTGGAGGTCCCAGTTTCGGGATAAATGGGTTGTTTTTCGCTGCGGCACTCTGTGGGGTTCAAACTGTGAATCGTCTGGCGGCTTCCCCCCCTCCAATAGGTGGCTTGCTGTGGCATTTTGGGTCTCTGATGTTTATGTCTAAATGGGTCTTGTAGGGCAGAGCATATTCCTGGCATTCACATTGTAGTGGCGGAATCTCTCTCTTGTTCGCAATGGTTGGGATTTTCGGGATGTGGGCCTACTGGTGGAGCTGGAAGGGACTCCGTGCCCGGTGGAGGTGTGGTTGCTTGGTCTGGCAGATTGAGGGATTTGTCCGTGGGTCAGTCTCTCAGGCCTCATGGAACCAATACGATAAGGTGTGGACGTGGTTTCTGCGTTGTAATGGTTGTCACTGTAGTGGAGTAGTAGTATTATCCACGGTATCTCCGCTGGTAGACAGGATAATCCGATACAAAACAGACAAAATGCAGGTAGCGTAGTTACAATCCCTTCCTCCCAAGAACGAGACGACACATAGCTTGGAGGTCAACTGAGGTTTTTAATTACAGGCACAGTATTTATGGGATTCCCCATGCAAGGGGTTTCCCTACTGACATTCCAGGGGTGGCACAGTAGGGGACTACATGGGGAACTGAACAATACATACATTTTTCCCACCGTGCACTGCTGCACGAGAGGGATACTCCCACTAGAATATACAGCTAAGTGGATTATCCCCCGGTGCAGCAGAACTTACATTTCACATTAAAATACATAATTCCCATAATATTCCCTTCATTTAAACAAATGGACGTTCGGTAGATAGCTGGGGTCTGAGCACACGGTTCGTGAGAATACCGCTCAGATCCCAGCCTAACTAACCGAACGCCGCACGAAACACACATTAAATTCAAGTTCTACTCAAAGTACCGATTGACATCAGTGGAACAACCTACCGAACGGCCGGGGCTCCTGAATGGCCTGGAAGTCCAGCGGGGTTCGCGCCGTCGAGTAGCCGATTTTGGTTCCAGGCACTCGACGACCAAACCCCGCTGGGCTAACAAAGGAACCGAGGTCGGTAGCCGAACAACGGCCACCTAGGAACACATTTAACTACCGATTGCAACAATGGTTAATGGGCGCCACACGACCTCCTGTGTGTGGTCGTCCATTCGGTAGGTTATTCGTTTCACGAACAGTGTTGAAACTCACTGTTCGTGAAACTACAGTATGAATGCTGGGGTTTTCATGCCGCCAGCATGCGAATGCCCTCATTCGCCTGAAATGCAATTACAATCCTACACTTGTCTCTACAGCTTTAGAAAGAATACAAACAGACTCATACATTGATAGTCTCCAGTGGCTAGTTTTGCCACAGTCATGTATGCCTAACACGGAAAGAGCTTTGGTCTGGTGGGAGCATGCTCCAGGGTTTTTTTGAGGTCGGGCTACGCTATGCTCCTGACAAGATTGGGTGGGGTTCCCCCTCTGGTCTGGTACTCTATTTCGAGACCTGTCTCTTTGCATTCCTATTCTCAGGAATTCGTTGGGGCCATGCGCGTTGGGGAATTGGTGATTCCTAGTAGGCACCCTGCGGATCATATCGCTATATGTATTTGTCAATCAAGGTTGGATGTTTTCGGGAAGGGTATGGGGGTTCGGTTATTTTCACTTTTTCCTTTGTGGAGAACTGTGAGTGGCGCCCAGTATGCACGGGCCCTCTTTTGGATCATGCGGATGGGATCTTTCTTTTCCATTCACAGTTATTTGGGTTTATCGCTCGAGTCTGATGGTTCTGGGGATTGACAGCAAGGAAAATTGTGGCATTCCTTTTGGTTTGGTGCTGCCTTAGCGGCTTTTAGGATGGGTATGTCAGCACACGTGGTGCAGAGAATCGGGAGGGGGTATGGTGAGATGGCTCAGTGAGCTAATGTTGGGTTCGTAGAATTTGTTCAATCCTTGGGGGGTGGTTGCGGGTTCAATTCTCAGCAGCAGTGGCTCAACCCTTCATTCCTTTGAGATAGATAAAATGAGTACCAGTACTTTAGGTAAAAGTAACAATTCCCAGGGTGCACTTGGAAAACAGAAATTATCTGTCCGTCCGGGAGGTGAGCTATTGGGCTTTGTGCCTTCTGAAGCAGAGGCTCGTTGGTTTGGTTACGGAGCTATGAAATGGGTCTGGCTCCTCCCAGAGCAGGTTCAGCTGTCCCCAATGTTCGGGTTATCCACCTGGGGGGCAATGAGCTTGGGCCAATACCGATGTGGTGTCTGCCCTTAAGAGGGTATTGGTGCGTGTTTTCGTTTTTTCATGATGTGTGGCTCAATTGGTCTGAGGTCATTTCCCTTATCTTTTGGCAGTGGGCCCATAATCAATGCATGGTATGCTGTCGTATGAAACTAAAATTGGAGGGTCACTAGGTGTGTTTGAGGGTAAGGGGATTTCAGTTTGCCACAGGGTGTTTTCGCACACGTGGCAGTTAATCTGTTTCTGGGTGAAGGAGTTCACCTCATGGAGGTCGGGCTCGACCTTTTTTCATCTTGCCATGAAGGTTTAATAAATGTGGGATGAGTCCTACAGTCTTATATTTAATAAATGCTGTGGCCTGTTCCATCCAAATTATGTGTCGTTATTGGGGGGTATTTGGGTAGGCTATGTTATTCTTATTTGCATCACATTCCCTGCTACATCCATACAAGCATGCGTGAGATAGGCATAAGGCTGTCCTAGTTATAAAATAAGGCTAGGGACTAATGAAAGTATTTAGAAAATTGAGTAGACTAGATGGGTTGAATGTAAGCCATGAACTTTTCAGGAACAAATAACAAATACCATACCTTCCAAGTCCCCCTATTTAGGATCCAAATCCCTCTGTTGATTTTCTTTTGCCTAATATCCCTCTCTTAGAGGAGCTCCATAGAGTCAAAAGGAGCTCCACAGCAATAATACAGACAGTAATGTGTGTTTAGAAATCTGTCTGTGTATTTAAAATATACAGATTTTGTTCTAAATTACAATTTAGTTGCATAACTTTTATCATAACATAAATCATAACATCTCGTCCCTGGCCAAACCTCCACTCACTCCCCTAAAATGAAAATGTCCCTCTTTGCACATTTGAAAGTACATAGTTCACATTGTTCTCAGACAGCTCCAAGAAAAATGTCAGGAACAGAACAAGTTGTTGTACATCACGTTCGTTGACCTCACCAAAGCGACATTGTGAGGTATGATGCAAATCTTGGAACACCTAGGATGTCTCTCTAAGTTACTCAATATGATATATATATATATATATATATATATATACAAAAATAAAGAGATGCACTCTGAGGACTTAACAAGTGAAAAAAAGGGGATTTATTCCAGTATAACATCAAAAATTAAACGACGTTTTGACCCATTCAGGTCTTTCTCAAGGTCAATGTACCTAAGTATAAAAGTTATATTTATAGGAAATAAAATAATGTACTCACCAATTGTGAAGAAACCCCTGAATCCTTTCTTGCAAACCCGGAAGTGAAACCGGAAGAACCCGCGGTCAAGTGATACACCGTGGTATGCGTGATGACATAATGTTGCTAAGATACCGATAAACAAGCACAATTATAAGGTCGGTATAATGGTCTCAAAAGTGTTTAACCCCGGGAGAAAAACTGGCCTTGAAAGACCTCAGACAAGACCCAAACATTGTAATCCATGGGGCCGACAAGGGTAGGGCCACGGTGATACAATCATATGATCAATACCGGAAGGAAATATTAAGACAACTTAATGATACACTGGTATATGCAAAACTTACCTTTGACTACATGGCAAAATTTCAGAAAAGAATTAAAAACCATGTTGAACTGGGGCTACAATTGGAATATTTGGATACTCGAACAGCCCAATACCTTATAGTGGAACCCGGTGCTTTACACGTTGCCGAAAATTCACAAAGATCCACTACAACCACCAGGGAGACCCATAGTTTTGGCTAGGGATAGCATAATCGAACCTGTCGCTAAATACATTGACACTTTCATCAAGGATAGCGTTATGGCTCTTATGCCTACGCGACACACAAGATTTTATGTCTAGAATTCAGTCATCACCATGTGTGGACTCTACATCCCTACTTGTTACGATGGATGTTCAGAGCCTGTACACCATCATAGCCCATGGGGAGATTGTGCAGGCGTTGAGAGATATCTGTGCCGAATCGACAATATATGAAGGACCACCGATCGAGTACCTGTTAGAATTCTTGACCATTGCACTTACAGGCAATTATTTTAAATTTGAAAATCAATTCTACGTACAATTGTCTGGAACTGCGATGGGGGCGTCGATGGCAACATTGTATGCCAACGCTTTCATGTACACCTTTGAACGCACCCATATTTTGGCAAAATTTGGGCATTACATCCAACATTATTACCGCTTTGTGGATGATCTTTTTATGATCTGGACAGGCACGATTATGGACTTGGAGCAAATGATTAAGCAGATCAATCAGTCACCTATACCAGTTATTTTGAGTCATCAAATTGATGAACAGTCAATTCAATTTTTGGATGTTACCATCTATAACAGGGGTAGGCAACCTACGGCACTAGTGCCATGCCCAGCACTCGAGGTGTCTTTGCACGGCACTCAAGGCTGCTAGAGCCAAACAGGCTCTGGCCTATCAGGAGTCCCAGTGAAACTTCAGATATCTGCTAATCCGAAAAGGTGGTGAAGGACAATCCTCAATTTATGCATTGCAGCACATAGAGGAATTGATCTCAGATCACTTCCTCCCAGCACTTGTAAATGGGAATCCACACTGTAGTAGAGCAGCTTGCAGTTGCTGTTGCAGCTCCTGTCCTTGACATGTACCTGGCCAGCCTGGTCCCCACTGGAACCCACCAACACTGCGATATATACACAGAAATGCAGAATAACCCTCCCCTCATACAAATAATACGGACAGCCCACACACAAACATGCACTCAATTCGCACAAACAAAACACCACTAACAATCCACATACATGCACACAACCCCACATGCAATACCCCAAACAGCCCCCACACACTACCAAACACACACTGTGACATATCCATCCAGACACACACACACAATTCCACAAGCAGCCCCCATACACAGCCCACATTCATATGTATCATACACAATACCATAAACTACTCATGAACATATACAATATAATAGCTCATATACACAGGGCCGCCTTTAACGCGGGGCAAACTGGCCAGCTGCACCATGAGCCCTGCTGGCCACAACTATTTCTAACTAGAGAGGAGAGCGCGGGAAAGAAGAGTAGGCAGATTGGAGGGGGGCTGGCCGAGAGCGCTAGACCCCAACTCCCAACACCTTCAGCCACCAGCAGGAAAGGTAGGAAACTGGAGGGTGGGTTTTAAAGTGTATGTCTGTGTCAGTATGTCTGTCAGAGTGTGTGTGTGTGTGTGTGTGTTAGTATGTCTGTGTATGTGTGTGTCATCTGTGTGTGTCAGTATGTGTTTGTGTGTGTATGTGTGTCAGCATGTCTGTGTGTGTGTCAGTATATCTGTGTGTGTGTCAGTATGTTTGTATGTCAGCATGTCTGTGTGTGTGTCAGTATATCTGTGTGTGCGCATTTCAGTATGTATATATCTGTGTGTGTGTGTATATGTGCATACATCTCAGCATTCACACACTAACACTACACACAAATACACCCCTGCATTCAAATTTCAACACTATGTACAAACACATGTATGTGTTACACACCAAAATTATATGTAAATACATCCCTGCATTCA